TGCTGTAAGAGTTTGAAGAGATTCTAAATGAGAGTAAAAGGAGCTAGCTCAAAGTTTTCATCCAAGAAAGGATTTTCTTTATTATTGGGAAATAGTATTATTACTATATAATACATTATATATAATAATATATTATAATATTATTAATACTATTGTTCTTTATTATTGAGAAATCAGTAGTAAGTACAAAGTTCACCCAACTTTAACTATACAATTCAAAGGTGCTGGCTAAGTTTACAGGGTCATGCAGCCATCACAACAACCTAATATTTGGATGTTTTCACCACAACCAAAAGATCCCTGGTGCCCATTAGCAATGTTCCCATTCCTGCCCGAAGTCCTAAGAAACTGCTAGTCTATTTATTATCTCCACATATTTTTCTTCCCTGGACATTCCCTATAAATGTGAAATAATACAGTATGTGGTCGTTTGTATCTGGTTTCCTTTCCGGGCATAATGTTTTCAAGGTTCAGCCATATTAGATCACTTATCTGTACTTCATTCCTTTTTGTGGCTGAATAGGATTCCACTCTATGAATATACCACATTTTTTGCCCATTCATGGATTGGTGGACATTGTTTCTTGTTTGTGGAAGTTGTAAGGAAAGTATATCAAGTGTACATAGATAGATAAATGAATAATTTCAGCAGGCTTTTGAAGAAAGGATATGATTCTAGGATAATATCCCACCTAAATCTTTTTCAGCATTTTCCATGTTTATTTGCCTCCCTCCCGGTCCCCAGACATCTGACCATGGAATACACAGTGGTAATTCAAGGTACAATCTCTAGAAAACAGTTTGTGAAATGTTGATACAGCCAGACTTCATCATTTATGGTTAGTTCCTTTTTTACATTATAGATTGGACTCCCATTAATCAAATTGATTATTTTATTTTAGATGAAAATTAAAGTGGCACTTCATCCCTATTCCATAAATTCTCATAATTTTACAGTGCTTCTGATAAATTGGGTTGGCTCTACAATCACTGACTATAAATAATATATCTTATACAATTCCCTATCTTACTGCATTACTGACCTGAATGAATTATTTTTCATGTAATTTTATTCTCAACATTTTAGTTACCCAAGTTAGTAGAATAAATATTTGTTATCTTCATTGTGTGTGTTCAACCCAAAATTCAGTCCAGGACAGGGTCAGTGATCTCCTTGCCAGTGCTGTAGTACCCACAGTCATAGTTACTGGCTGCATCTTCCTTGGCTGTGACGAGCTGCTCAGGGTGGGAGAGCTGGTGATAGATACCAGGGTGAACTATGTGGATGACTACCCTAGACACGTTTGCCAGCACCAGTCTTGCTGAAGAAGGCACTAAAGAAGTCATCTCCTTCCCCAGTGGTCTTGTCACTTGGCACCTGGCTACTGGGTTGGATGCCATGTCCCAGGTAGTAGATTTCCCAGTAGGCATTGCCAATCTGGACACCAGCCTGGCCAACATGGATGGAGATGCACTTACGCATGGTTGGTGCTTCTCAGCTGCTGAGCAGATGGTAGAGATGAGAGGAGTGATTGCTTCTTACAGCACAACTCTTAGGTGGTTGATGTAAGAGAACCTGCCCATGTCCGCTTAGGTTAATCCAGCAGTCTACAGAAGAGCAGAGTAGCATTTCCCTCCATCTCACAGTCTGGGCACAAACTAGCAAAGAATGGCTGTGAGGTAGGTACGCAGAGTCTGGCCAGCACAACTCGAAGCTAATTTTTCTGGTTGAACAGAGAAGATCTTTGGCTTTTGACAGACTTAATAACATTTAAACAAGGCACTCTGTACACTCTGAAATATATTAGCTTTTTCTGTATCTATCATCAGTAAAACTGGGGAATAATGAATCATATTGATAAAGATAAAAATAACTTTAAGTTTAAAACAAAAATATACTCTGAGTGGTGCTGTGAAACCATCTCAACTACACAGCGATTATTCTCTGTTCTTGAGATGGAACTTGAAACTTAAGTCCTTATGATGGAAAATACATATATGATTACACAGACTATTCACATTAGATTAAAAGTTTTAAGGCATGGTATCTAAAAAGATGTTTGAAAAAGAAGGAAAACAGCTGGATGAAGTGGCACGGGCCTGTAATTCTAACTACTCTGGAGGGGGAGGGGAGAGAGAGAGAGAGAGAGAAATTTAAAACCAGCACAAGCATAAAATGGTAAAGAAAACTCCCACTCTCGGTATCAAGCTGTCTGCATCAAAAAAAGATGCAGTTGGGCCAGGGATTTAGCTCAGTGGTTCTGTCACCTGCCTCACAAGCACAAGCACCTGAGTTCGATCCCCGGTACAAAAAAAAAAAAAAAAAAAAAAAAACAAACAGTGTAAATGTTGGAGGACCCACTGCACATACAGTAGAGAAATTTGCAGGAGTCTGTCTTCCTCAGGTAGACAATTAAAGGGACTGAATATTACCAAAGGAGCATAGAAGAAATCAAAGGCAACCTGAGACATTCTGAATCTGAGACAGAGGTGATCCAGCAGAAGAGATACGTGAGAGTCCTCTCTTCTTCATCTGATACAGAGGAAAGAGCATTTTAAACTTTTAGGTGCCATTTGTGCTTTCCCACAGAGTCTGAGGATAGCGCAGAGAATTTCAAGTTGTTTCGCTGCTCACAGGCAACTAGGCCAAGACCCACACGCATCTCAAGTATGCTTTGCACTTCAGTTCAAAAGTGTGGCTCTGCTGTACGTACAAGGGACTATGCCTCGTGTTCCCTGAGCTTCCTTCACCTAACAAGAAGCAAACAGCTCGATAGTGTAAATTTGTACTAGTATGCAAGGTTGCTGCATGATGATCCTGCAAAACTGTAGTTGAAAAGGTATTTTTCTCCTGTGTGGATATGTGGGTGTTTAAATGTGTAAGTGTGTCAGGCTCATACATAGCTATTTCAAGCTTCTTCCATTTATTTAGATGAAATATCTTGCACATAATAGAAAAAAAATCAAGAACTGTTATGTAGCCTCCATTGACTTTCTGAATCTATTTATGAACACATTGTACTAGTACATGTTGTTAACAAATACAGCAAAATAAAGATTGCCCAAAGATTTTAATGATTGAAGGCAGCTCATCGGGTTAATCCTGTTTTGATTTTTTTTTTTTTAATCCTAGTGTTCCCCTTCAGAAGTTTGGTTTTTGGCTGAACTTACTGGATAATCCTCACAGGTGTCTCTTTCCATATGCAAACATGCATGAAAGCAGGAAAAGGGTATGGGATCAATGAGGTTAAACAACATAATTAGACCATTGTGTTGTTCTAGTTGTACCTGCAAAGATAAGCCATATTTTTCAGGCTGTCATCCCAGCCTCCTAACGTTTTTCTCCTAAGTCGCTGGGAGCAGCTTATATGTGCCCATGACAGGTTCCATTAACAGTGTGACTTGTCCAGTGCACAGCCATTCAGGATGTCTGCCACAACTTTGAACTCTAAATAGTTTTGGCTTATCCTATTTTTAAGCTTTTTATAAATGGAACCCTACTGTCTGTCATCTCCTGTGACTATCTTCTCTCACTGCAAAGTTCCTTAAGGCCCATCCTGATGGCTGTGTGGTGTTCTCCTTTGTTCATTCTTATTGTCTATTTTATAGACACCATATTTGTTTACCCAGCCTATTATGGACTAGCAGTTGGGTGTCTTTGAATATGGGTAATAACCCTATGTTTTAGGTGCCATTCCATCCATTTTTACTGAAGGGGGAACTGGGGATATGGGCAGCTTCAAAAGACAGTACCTCAGGGCCACCGGGCAACCTCACTCTCTACCCTCACTCCTTTGTGACTGCACTATTAGAAGGTAGTTCTTTGATCTATTTCTGTCTTTCTCTTTCTAAAGGATTCAAGTGTGAGGCTTTAGGGGCTGGACTGGGTGACAAATTCAGGTCACACAAACTCATTACTTCCCTTGAGACCAAAGCTTTGTTCCCATGTCAGGTTTTCTATGCTTAGGGCAAAGGCTTCTCCAGGTGGCCTCATTAGTTCACCTGACCTATCTGAGCCCTAGCAAACCCATGGTAGGCCCTGGCTGTGCCCCTACCCACACTCCCCGATTTCAAAAGTATATTCAAAGTGAATCGACTCCTAAAAGCAGAGCTTTATGATTGTGTTTACTATTGTGTCTTTGGCTTTTACTATTAGTCCCCATTTTTGCCACATGAAATACAATGAAACCCAAGAACTATGTTTTCTTTCTCCATGATTAAGGATTTCCCCCCCTGTATAGAGCCTTCTTTGTCATGTTTGTAAGAATAGAATGTCAACTCATATTTTGTTTTTCATAAAATCTTCGCAAATGGGTTTCTTTGTATTGCTTCCAGAGAAACATTTATGTAGAGTCTACAGATCTATGTGAAAAAGAAAGGTCAGCTTCCCAGCCTTGTGTCAGGAGTGCTATATCAGGGTGCTTATGAGAGGCCAGTTCTTGGGCTCTCCTTAAGTAGAAATTTAGGGCAAAAAATAGGCTCATCCATTCCCAAATTCCACTAGCAGTAGGGTATGAAGTGCTCTGCTCTCATGTCATACCCTGGACATCTTTGAACACTGCAGAAGTTTGTTGGATCAGCCGATGTATTACTGGCTTTTGGTGTGATGGAAGTAAAAATGTAGCCTCAGTCAGAGGCTAGATGTTTTCTAGCCCAAAAAAGCAAATCAAACACGTTGTTTCCAGCTTTGCAAAATAAGAAGTAATTTTGGCAGCCTTGGAACCTGGATGGAAGATTTTTGATTTTTTTTTTTTTAATGAAAGTGATTGTGTATATACCCACAGGTAAATTAAAATGCTTGCTTCTTTAAGGACATTTTATGAAAGTTAAACGTGTAGACTGACCTGTGTAGAACTTTGTCCTTTTCTGCTTCAAACTTCAATCAGTGAGTTGTGCCAGCTGGCAGGGAAATGGACAATTTCTTAAAAAAAGGGGGGGGGCTCTTTTATTCATTGGTCAATAGAGGGGGAGGGTGCAGCTGTTCAGAACATCCAAATTCAGAAATTATGCCCCCCACCCAGTCCCTGAAAGAATCCTTCTTACATCTCACTCACCTTCCAGGATTCCTTTCCAGCCACCACCTCCTAACCAATGAACCGGCTCACCACTTATTTCCAGGTAATGTGTGGAAGCCAAATGCTTTTAATATAGGGTATTGGGTCTTGATAGAAAAATTCTCTAAACTGAAAAATTAAGTCTGCAATTTCAAAGCTACGTTGTGAAATTGTAGACCCCAGGGATGCCACACGTTGTTCTCCCATAATGCAATTGTTTTTAGCACCAAAAAACTGCGAACCAAAAGAAAGATTAACAACAGAAAAGAGGGATATTCCTTTGGCATTAGTTCCTAGGGAGAGAATTTTATCAGTGGGGTAGAAAAAAGAGAAAGGCATAGAGAGAAACATCTTTAGTGTTCAAATGACTTATGCAAGTAATGAATACAAGATACGTATGGGCATATTTTTTTCTCATTGAGTTTATTGGTACATTTTAGGTATACAGTACAGTTATATTCATCATTAGGATCTTGTACCTTTACATGACAGGTCTTGGTTCTCATTTTTTCCCCATACCCCTGCCTTCCCTTCACCCCCTCCTCCCTTCCCTATTCACAAACACTTTATTTCCATTTTTTAATTTTCTCATATTTTTTTCTTTTCCCTTATTTCCTTTCCACTACACTTCCCACTTCCCCTGCATCTTTAGCCCTTTTCTTCCTATTTCACACTGTGAATTATACCATTAGGATCTTATATACCATTATAGTTTTTCACATCAGAGAAACGATTTGGTATTTACACATGTGTGACTTATTTATTTCATTTAAGGGTATATCTTCAATATGCATCCATTTTCCTATGAATGACTAATTTCTCATTCTTTATGGCTCATTTTCCATTTTATAGAAAAATCACATCTTCTTTACAGGCATATTTTCTGAGACGTACATTAGTAGGATGCTAGACAAAATATAGAATGTATTTGAACTTCAGACAAACAAATAATTTTTTTATGCTTAAGTATATCCAAAACATTTCATGGGGCATACTAGATTTTTATTTGTTAAATCTGGAAGTTCTACATGTGTTTTCAATACTTCTCCAACACAATCTCAACAATAAATGTTTGCCAAGACCTTTTGGCATAATGGTTCAATTCAAAGGTGGCCTCAGGAAGCACAGCCTTGTATCTCTCATCTCTGTACCCACAGCCCCCCGCTCCATCTTTGGTAAGTCAGGCTAATGAGTATTTTTTTCAAAGCTAATTGAAGGAATAAAAGAAGTATGGAAGATGATGATTCTTATAATCTAGATAAGAATGCAATCTCATATATAAAAAAAGAAATGTAATATTATCTTATTTGGAATTTCAAATGTTTAATTTACTTACTAGATCAGAGCACTGAAGTGACTTTAGATACTAAGTGAGTTACTTTCACTTAAAAATTAATAAACTAGGGGATGGAGCAATTTTATTTTTTTAATTTTATTGGTACATGATCTGTTTTTTGTTTTTTGGTTTTTGTCCCTGCACTAAGGATTAAAATCAAGTTCTCTCCACTGAGCTACATCCACATCTCTTTTCACTGTTTTATGGTTTTTTGAGATAGAGTCTCTGTAAATTGTCAAGCTCACCTCCTACCTCAGCCTCTCAAACAGTTGAATTATAGGTATGCACCACCACACCTGATTTGACATGATTATTTTGATTATCTAACTTAAATTTCTCTACTAAATATGATCTCACCTATATTCTTACATGTATTCTAAGGTTCTAATCAAATAAATCATGTGTCTTTAATTCCCTTATTTTTGACAGAGTTGAATTTGATCAAGTAGGAATGAATGTGCACTAACTAGTCAGGTATAACCTAGAACCTTATTATAAAGTAAAAATTACTATAGTTTTCAACCAGGCATGATGGTGCACTCTTATCATCCTAGCACCTGAGAGGCTGAAGCAGGAAGATTTTGAATTTGAGGACAATTTGGATTACACAGAGAATTGAAGGTGAGCCTGGATTACATAGAAAGACCCTGTCTCAAAAAATATACATATAATCATGCATAGGTATGTATATATTAAGTTTGATCTATATTTCTTTTTTAAGAAATTTATAAATAAATTTGTAATTTATTACTTTCATGTATAACAGCATTAAATACAATAGCTAATCAATGTATAACAGATTTCCAGTATGAAACCTAGACATTTGTAATTTATTATTTCTCAAATATAATAATAAAACATAAATAAATTACTATAATCATAAGTTCATATAGCAAGATTATAAGACTTTATATACCATTTATAATTGAGATTATGTATTCTCTTTCTTCTTCAGAGAAAAAGCTTGAAGAATCATATAAATTTCTGAAGAACAAAATCCCAAACACTTTCTTATTTAGACTTGTAAGATTAACCAACACTGGTCTGTTTTTCTTGCTTGCTTGAAGCAGTACCCACATTGAACCCAACTAGTTGTCTCCAAGCAGAGTAACCAGAAAATTGGGGTTCACATTGAAATAAAAAAATTGATAAATTTGACTATGTTTTAAAAACTGCAACAACTGTATGATAAGCAATACCATAAACAGTCATAAACAACATCATTCACAAAATTAAGAAACAAAGAACTGATGGGAGGGTTACCTAATACATAAAGGCCTTGTATAAATCATAAGGAAAAAAGGAAATACAAACAGTCCTAAATATAATAAAAGATGTACAATATCAGTCATAATAGAAATTTAAATTAAAAATTCCATGAAATACTATTTTCATCCATCAGAATGGCAGAAAACTGAGTCTTGATAAAATAGTTTAGGGCAATGCCAGTGGGAATGGGAAGCCCTTGTTTATTACTGATGGGAGTATAGATCAGTATGAAAGGCAGTTCGATTTTGTCCATCAATATTACAAATATCGATGTCCATACTATCTGACCTAGTAATCCCATATACATATTTTTCACATGTGAGAAATTAAGTATAAATTTATTAATTGTGATACTGTTGTAGTATTAAAAGTTTTTTTGGTATTGAGGATGGAACTCCGATCCCTGTGTTTGCCAGACTGGCAGCGGCACCATTGAGCTAAAGCCCAGCCCTGGAACATTTTCTCAAAAGCAAGTAGTTAAATATGTCATTGTCCATCCATACAGTGGAACATTATGCAAGGGTAAAATGACTAAGAAAATTCTCTGTACTGACGTAGATTCACCAATAGATCTGGGAACATCTTGCTAATAGCAGAAAGGGGGATTAAGCAATACGTATCTGAAAGCTTAATTTTATTTACATAAAGAAACTGATAAGACATATAAAAGCTTCATAGAAATGGTTACTTATTTCCAGAGGTGGAAAGGATGTACTAGAATGATAAGGAGCAGGATCTTCCATATACCTGTGTGTGTGTGTGTGGGGGTGGGTGGGGGTGTGTGCTTGTGCCACATGGTTATTACTTTTTTATCAGCTAACTAACAAAAAGAGGACTGGCTTTGCCTAGTTCCAGAAACAAGGAAGAACTTGGCTTTGGGGGCAGTTTCAGGGGTCAGACTGAGGAGTGTAGAACGTGAAGATGGAGAACGGTGAGAAACCAGATGAAAAGATGCAGGAACTACTGTAAAGGGAGGCCGACCAAGCGGTGTGCCAGAGTTCGTAGGAGAGAAAGAGAAAGTGTCGAACCAAAGGCTTAGAACACAACTGGTGCCTGGCAATCCCCGCAGAGGACGGATCCCAGGAAGGAATCTGAGGTAGATAATATCTCAGAATAAAGAAATGTCATAAACAAGATGAACATTTCTAGAACACAAACTGTATCTTTGGAAAGCAAAACAAAATAATGTCATCACAGTGGCACTCATTTTCTTTCAAGACCAAACCAGCACCTGGCTCTTCGCCTTTTATGATAGCACTCAATTACCAAACTCAGGAAATGTGAGCATCTCATATTCATTTGTTTGAAAACATTTAGCATTCAGTCAACAAATTTTAAGCCCCCAGAATATTCCAGGCACAAGGACTCAAAGATAAGTGTGACTAGAGCAACTCCTGTCTGGTGAAGTAGGCAAGTACGTCAGTGACAGGGTTGTGAGATATTAAATTCCTGGTAAGCTCTGTAGTATTGGTTAGTACGCCCTAGATTTGACTAAGCATTAAATTTTCCTGAGGCATTTTTAAAAAGCAAACAAAAAAAATAAAACCCCCTATAGTTTCTTAGGCCCAACCTTAGGCCAATTGAATTAAAAGTCCTTGGAGAGAGCCTTGGTAATCTGTATGTTTAAGTTCCTCTTGAGAATCTTCCAACTAGGTAAATTGGTGAAATAATTGATCAGTGCAAACAGGATCCTGTGGGGTCAAAAGAGGAAGTTCCTGGGTTGGAAAATTAGCAGTGCTTCACAGCAATGTGCAGGCCACACCTTACTGAGCAATTGAGTAAACAAGTAGAAAGAACATTCCCAGCAAGGCTAATTCAGGAGAAGGCCTACAAGTGTGAAACGGGGAATGTTTGGGGCAGGAGCCTGGGGGTTGTGGAACAGTTGAGAAGTCTTGGACAGTACTCTCAAAGCCACAGGGACTTTAAACTGGGGGTATGCATTCTGCTGGCAGAATGAGAGTGGCCTAATGAGAGACAGAGTCCAGTTTAAAAAGGTGTCAAGGAGGTTCCTGGGAATAATTAGGTAACTAACAGTAGAGGGATGGATGGGTTGAGTTATTAGCTACATTGGACAGGTTTTCGTGATAGATTGATTCTTAAGAAAACAAGCTGGGTGTGGTTCCATACAACCATAATCCCCCTGGGAGGCTAAGGCAGGAGGCTTGCTTCAAGTTTGAGACCTGCAGTGAGGAATTTGAGAAGAGGAACCAGAGAGGAGGACAGAAGGCTGAATTCCATCTTGATTGGGCTGAAATTTAGTGGCTTGGGGGTGGGACATGGGTACTAGGCATTCGGATATCTGAAGATAAGAGATTTGACAATCACAGCATAGAATATCGGATAAAGCCTGGGATCTAGCCTTCACCTTCTTACCTTCCACCGTGGATAACCCAGCAAGAAGGCCCCTACCAGATGCCAGCACTTTCATATTGAGCTTTTCAGCCTCCATAACTATGAGA